TAGTTCTCCTTAGGGTAACGGGAGGACACAAACTAGCGTCCTCCCGTTACCCTAAGCTCAGTATACCGCGAGCTACAGCTCGCGGTATACTGAGACACCGGAGCGGATCCCGACGTAGATGACGGGATCCGCCCAGCTGCTAGAGGCAGAGCCAGCTGTACCTGCCCCCTCCCCCGTCCCTTCCGCCAGTCAGCGCTGGCAGATCGGAGCGGGGGAGGGGAATCCAGCCCCTCCCCCGTCACGGCAGAGAGCCGTGACAGGATCGAGAGGCGAGCGAACCCGGTATCTCATTGTCACAGGTCGGCTAGAACTATGAGGTGAGTGAAAAGCACTCACCTCATAGTTCTCCTTTAATAAACCCTTATTTAAAGAATATATGAGATTTTAGTGACTGGGTTTAAAGTACTTTAAAGTATATACACTATATTGCCAAAAGTATTGGGACACCCCTCCAAATCATTGGATTCAGGTGTTCCAATCACCTCCATGGCCACAGGTGTATAAAATCAAGCACCTAGACATGCAGACGCTTCTACAAACATTTGTAATAGAATGGGCCGCTCTCAGGAGCTCAGTGATTTCAAGCGTGGTACCGTGATATGTTGCCACCTGTGCAATAACTCCATCCGTGAAATTTCCTTGCTACTAAATATTCCACGGTCACCTGTTAGTGGTATTATAACAAAGTGGAAGCAACTGGGAACAACAGCAACTCAGCCATGAAGTGGTAGGCCACGTAAAATGACAGAGCGGGGTCAGCGCATGCTGAAGCGCAACTGTCTGCAGAGTCAATAGCTACAGACCTCCAAACTTCGTGTGGCCTTCAGATTGGCACAAAAACATTGGTTAGAGAGCTTCATGGAATGGGTTTCCATGGCCGAGCAGCTGCATCCACGCCTTACATCACCAAGTGCAATGCAAAGCTACTCAACAACTACTACTGTCAGCTTACTACAACTTAAAAGCTAATTATTCTGCAGTCCAAGGTAAGAACTTGGAGGACTAAATAGCCTATTTGAGATAATACAGGAAATGTGACTTTCAGCTCAAAAGAAGTATAGCAAAATTATTCCAATGGTCTACTTAACAGACCAAAAGGCAATAATAGTAGTTCATTGTTAAGGTTTCCATTCACTTTAGTTTATATTCCAAGGATTTTAGAACATTTCACTGTGAAGCCTTACCTGCAGTAACACTTGACATGTTCCTTTTAGGTTTTCCTCCTCCCGAGTGCTTAGTGAATGGTTCAGCTGCAATAAACACATGATCAGCCTCAGTGTTGCAGTAACAGTAAAAATTGTTGGTGGACCCAGCTCACTGGCGTCCTATTTTAGTAGGGTTGGTGTTAGAACACAACTAGCTATGACTAAGGCCGAGTAAGGCAGAAATGCGCATATTAGCCACCGGGTCATTAGAGGGCTGGCAGGCTGCCAATTGTTTTGCTCTTTAAAAGAAAAGAGGAAATGAGTTTTGAAGAAGGCCCTCTTCAGTGAATGAGAGACTTCTTCAAAGTGCTTTTATTTCTTGTTCAGAATATGTGAATATGTAAAGTCTGAACACAGGTTCACTTTAAAAGGTAAAGATTTCTTTACCTCCAACTCACCACATGACATCGTATAGAGCAGTGTTTCTCAACCTTTTTTTGTCACGGCATCCCATTCTAAAATGTCATCGATTTTACAATGCAAAAACACACAAACAAGTGGTTTTCACATTGAAGTGCCCTCCTTTCACATCAGAGTTACCCTTTGCATTAGTAGCCCCATTCACATCAGAAGCCCCCCTTTGACATCTGAAGCCCCACTTTCATATTACATCAGGAGCCCCCATCACATCAGTCTTCATTCCCTGCTTCACATCACAGTCCCACAACCACAACGTTTTGAGGCAGCCCTGAGGTACACCACTGTGGCATGGCACCCTGGTTGAGAAAGGCTGGTATAGAGAGCAATGTGAACCCTTGTGGATCTACAAATTCCTGCAATGAGTTTTCCCCTGCTATCAGACTGCCTTAACCCTTAACCCTGCAGCAGGCACTATTGTCAGCAGTCCCTTGCTGGGCTGTATGGGAGTACACAATGGCCCGATGACATAATCCAAGGAAGTGTTGCAGTAATGGTGTAATGACTCTATTTCTGGAGGAATGCAGAACATGATCTTCCTGGGCTTCAAGAAATTTTAACGTGCGGGGATGTGATTAGAAAACTGCTCCTGACTGATTGTATTCCACCCTAAGAAAAGGGCTGCTAGCAGCACCACTTATCTCCCTCTCTGTTCCCCTCACAGTCACATAAACATGAATAAGCTAGCTGGCCTTGTCGATGGTACTGCTGGACAATGCTAAAGGCTCAGGGTGCTCAGACTGTGTATGAACTTTCCTACTTCATCGTTCATTTTAGCAGGGTGCCTTGTCAGTTATGCTATTGAATTTCCTAGTGTTCCAAACGTGAGCTTGTAAGTTCTCCCTTACTTTGGAGGTTTATAGACAAGCCCTTGTTTGTCTTTCCAGTGCCACCATGCACTCTAGGCTTCCATGCCTTTAGCAAATAGCTCCTGCCAATGAATTTGCTCACACCTCCTCCCTCTGTTGTGCTTGTTGTTTTTTTAGCGGACTTCAGTCTGTTTTTTCTCTTAAATTATATTTCATCCCCACGTCTTCTCTTTACAGGTGTTCACTCCCTTTCGCAAACTGATCCTTAGTGCGGAGAATAGGAAGGATATGGAGGAATGGATGGCGGCCCTCAAATCTGCACAGAACCGTGAGCTCTTTGAGGTAGTAACCTTTATACAGCCAGTGACAAAAAAATCTGATCAGGTTGGCAAACATTGGTGTTTCCTGCTTGAAAGAAAATTGCAGGTGATACTGGGTCATTGACCTGGGAGGGGCCAATGCACATGGTATTCATAGTAGATTGGGAGGGGTTGGGGCTCTGCAGGTAAAATGACAGAGCAGTATTTCTCTCTCTTAGGAATTCAGACATGCTACTTTCTATTTATAGGTTATTTGGGGTATAATTGGCGACTAAGCTGTCAGATTTGTTATAATTGCAAGTTATGTAAGATATTTGCAAGTTCATTCTGCACGTTCAACTTTTTTTCTTTTTTTTTTTACTTGTGCAGAAGAGCAATCCGGAAATAGTTTCACCTCTTAAGTTTAGGGTAGTGTTACTTCTCCTGTCATTTGCATAACAATCGCTGATAGGCAGAAGTGCTCTAAGCAGTAGTCAGACCTGCTGTGCCTGTGTGTGCACTCTT